TCCCCATGCTAAGGTTGACAATCATGCTCGTCTGCCCCCGTTGCTTTATCATCCCTTGAGGAAGGCCATACTACCATGTCCCTAGGTGGGGACCCCTCCTCTTAGTCCAATGGGGCTAGTAAAGCAACAGTGTCCAATAAGCTAAGGATACCAATTTCATCGGTTGTGCAATCCCAGTCTTGTGCCCTGTTTTTGTAGCGGGGGAGGCCTGTCATGCCAAGGTTGCCCCCAATCCTCCGCGATACCACTCTTGTCTATTTTTAGTCAAGGGTCTGTTTTGACACTTTCAATGTGATGAGGATGTGTCTTGCCTATAGCGCTAGGCGCTTGCCATGGCACTAGGGTGATGTCGTGGCCATGCCACAATAGTAGGTCCTGTCGTGGAACTGTGGTCATACCCATTTATGCTGGATCTTGTTGGGCGCCACTGTCATGTAGCTATCAACTCTTGTCATTTGTCCCTTCATGATGTGGATATGTGTTCTGAATTTATGGGATACTACATTTGTCTATGCATGTGTTAGGTTGCAGGAATCATCTTATGCATGCACACCGTAGTCTCTCTACACTTATCGATTGGTTATATCTGTTGTTTGTGCGCCGATCGTGGTGTTGCTAAAAAGCAAAAAAAAATATATATATAAAGTGGACTCGAGTCTTTTATCATTATTTCTCCATTGTTGAAAGTATTGTTGTGGTCAATTGGCCCTTGGTCCCTGCATGCATGGGTCTTCCTTTGATGGTCACTATGTGCATACCCCGTTGTCGAGACCTAGGTATTTTCGTTCTTGGAAAAGTTTTGAAGTAGGGAGTTCGATTCCACCAATGTACCACTTGTGATTGTCGAAATCCGTATAATTGTCACCAATTTTTTTTTCATTGGCATTGATCACTACAAAGAAAAAAAATTATGGGCATTGATTGGTCAACGTAGCTATCCATGTGGCGCTTTGTCAAGTCAATGCGGTAGGCTAATGAAGAAGCTGATGGTCGCGCTAATGTGGATGTTAGGTGGCGCATTGATTGGTCAACATGGTGACTAAGGCTTGTTGATTGGGCTATGACTTGGCTATTGACTGGGGGACCCGACTACGGTACATCCATTGAAAATTTTGGTACCATAGCGAAATTCAATGTCCATTGTTGATCTATGGTAGACCAAAAGTGAAGCGTTGATTAATGTATCTTTTAAAAAAAAAATATTGACAAATAATGAACCGACAACTTGTTTGGTAGACATGACAAAACATTGAAATGACATGTCAGATGATATTATTAGAAAGAGAAGGCTACGGTACATCCAAGGGCATTTTCGATACCTAACCAAAAATTCCAAATTACAACATTAATGGTATGTTTGGACCCGACTACGGTACATCCATTGAGAATTTTGGTACCATACCAAAATTCAATGTCCACCGTTGATCTATGGTAGACCAAAAGTGAAGCGCTGATTAATGTATCTTTTAAAAAAAAAAATTGACAAAGAGTAAACCGATAACTTGTTTGGTACTGGTTTGGTAGACATTTCAAGACATTGAAATGACATGTCAGATGGTATTAGTAGAAGGAGAAGGCTACGGTACATCCAAGGGCATTTTCGGTACCTAACCGAAAATTCCAAATTACAACATTAATGGAATGTTTACTAAATTGATGATATATTTACACCGATTAATAGACAAGATAAGACATTGAAATGACAAGACAAGACATATTTTTTAGCTACAATTAAGTTCAATCGAGGGCAAAATTACAACATTAGTGGGAAGTTTAGGATTATAGTAAACAAAATTACAACATTAGTGAAAATTTTACAACAGTAATGAATAAAATTAAAAAATTTGTGAAAATATTTACCAAATTTGTGGAAATATTTACAACTTTAGTGGTATATTAACCAAATTTGTGAGAATATTTACAACTTCAGTGATATATTTATCAAATTTGTGAAAATCTTTACAAATTAAATGGATTCAAATCTTTACAACTTCATGGGGAGATTTGATCGATTGTGGGGAGATTTGATAGATCACAAACTTACAGTTTTTCAAAAAAATTTGGGGGAGACTACTTCAAACTTGCGATAGATCACAAAAAAAAATAATAAATTTGATATATTTTGAATAATAATTTTGATATATTCTAAAAAATAATAATAATTGCCACTTTTATTTACCACTTTTATGGAAATATTTATAATTTGAATGAATTCTTTATGAAAATAATTACAACCTCAGTGGTATGTGTTACCAAATTTATTTTTTTAATTGATGTATTCTTGGCTATTGATTGAAATGTGACTTTTTGACTGTCACGGTAATCGACGATTAGTTGAAATTTTTTTTTGTCCAATCAACAATCCAGTTCAACAACTGTCCAGTCTAGTCCAATAGAGGCTGACACACATGTTTTTACCGAGGGTAATTAAAGGAGATAAGTAAGATAAGTGGATGAAATGGAAAGAACTCAAGTAGTCTATTAATGAATGAACTAACTAGTTGGGCAATGGGTTGGTCGAGTAAATGCTCTGACCAACCAAGTCAAAATCTCACTCTTAAAGTGGACAAGTAATGCCCAGGCTGCCCTCTAACATTCGTACCAACTCATAACTGTCTCGATTGTAGCGATGTTAGTAGTTGCTAATCGTGAGTCCCGTGCCCCAACATTTACTAGGAAGATGTAACGTTTTCCCAAACACGGCTTAGACGAGGCTCTCAATGAGTGTGATAGCCGATACAAAAAAGGTCTCCCAAGGTTAATGATCATGATTGATTATGGCGAGACCATGACCTTGACAAGGTCATGTACGTGATGCCCTTACCACACTCTTACGTGGGATCTTGCCTTCCTTTTCTCAATCCCTTTCTCGAGACTTTTGTCTAAGTACGCAATAGAGGAAACTCATATAGTTTCGATTCTTCAGCCACCAATCCATATGTCCTATTATTACATATGTTGATCAACACCATTAACTCTAGCTATTTTAGGAGTCCCTCTGGATTCCAGTCAACACATCATCCTAGTGGATAATGAGTCATACACTGAGAGCCCTACTCAAGCAAACTAAATCATTGAGATCTTACCCTAGGCTAATGTTGACAATCATGCTCGTCCGCCCTCGTTTTTCAATTATCCCTTGAGGAGAGTCATATTGCCTTGTCCCTAGGTGGGGATCCCTCCACTTAGTCTAGTGGCCCAGTCGAACAATTGTGTCCAATAAGTGGAGCACACCAATTCTGTCGACTGTACAATCCCAGTTTTGTGTCATGTTTTCGCAGTGGGGGAAGCTGGTCACACCAATATTGCCCCCAGACCTCTGCGTTGCCACTTTTGTCCGTCTTTAGTCAAGGGTCCATTTTGCTACTTTCAATGTGATAAGGATGTATCCCGCCTTTTTACAGCACTAGGCGCATGCTGCCACACTAAGGTGCTGTCGCTGTGTGCCTGCCGCAACATAGGGCTGTCATGGAACTGTGGTGCGTGCCACAGCACTGGTTGTTGTCACGGAACTGTGGTTCTTGCCCGTTCCAGCTACATCCTGTTGGGCTCCATTACCATGTAAAGTATAAACTGTTATCATTTGTCTCCTCATGATGTGTACACATGTCCTAAATTTATTGGATACTACAATGAAATGAATTAACTCAAGCAGTTGTAGTTTCAATTTTAAAAGTGATAATTAAATCCTAAAAAATATTAACTTTTGGTATCTGGACCCTAGTGTTGTCCTTGATTCTAAACTTGTTTTACTCTAGCAACCTTTTCCGTCCTCTCCTCCTATACCTTAGTGAAACCTTAAACCTTTATTTTCTTTGCTTTCTGCTACCGGCATAAGCAAATGGGTAATATATCATTGTAGAAGAAATTACCAAGGAATACATTTTCTATACATATTTAGTAGTAAAACAATCACTTTCTGTTCATTAAAGGGCACAGGAAATAACATATTGTAGCTTACAGACTTGCCAAACACAACGTAGCCACGGCATATTCATAATAAAGTCACCAATCTAAACCCGTGAAATGCACTTCAATCCATAAAGCAATTAAGAGAAGTGTGTTAAGCAACAGCCTCGGCGGACTTGGCTTCTGCTTCCCAAAAGGAAGTCTTCTTCCCAGTCTTAGAAACAGTCTGGAGAACTGCTTCAGGCTGAACGTTGCCTTTCACTGTAACTTTCTGCTCCTTCAAATCAATGTCAAACGATTCTACACCTGAGGATGGTTCAAAAGGGATGCAACAACTCGGTATTAACAAAACCATATCACAGTGATGATTCCCCAGCAGGAGCTGATGAGAAAATTAACTAATGTGATAGTGTGCATGTATGTAAATCAATTTTCAACCACTCAGAGTGCTAATACTTATTGGTTATTACTACTTAAGTTTTACAATCTCTCATTTGTAGAGCGAATGTAAAATCATAATTTAGCCTTCAACCAAAACCCTATGTCCAAATTTCTATGTCACTATATGAAATATACCCACAAACATTTTCCAAAACCATCACTAGTTGTCAACGGAAACCACTTAAGCTCCAATACTACAATACAGTTCAGCTAAACGAGTAAGTAAAAAGCTGGGTCTCTGTTACCAAATGTTTTATATATCGGTATTTGAAAAGTGAAACTATCACCAAACCCCAAGCAGGGGCAGAAACAAGGACTTATTGTTCCCCCATTGCAGATGCAGCCCAAATGAAAAGCTTAGGATAATAAATGGAAGATCTTTAAAGAATCAACCAAAATCACACATTATACACACATCACTCTATGTACAAGGCTCTACTTGTACAAGTTGGATTGGCCTTATTTGGTCAGTTGACCCATTAGTCTTCTAATTTAGATTATGTTTCATAGTTAATGGATGCTGCTGCTACTCTTTTTAGACTGCCAGATGTAGATACCTGCTGTACTACACTACCATGTTGAATACATTATAGAGAAAAATATACACTTCATGTGAAGAGATAGAGACCTCCATCATGATGTCCAATATATACTAGTACATTCACAGGTGTGATATCTCCACATGCATAATGTCATGAAATGTATACTTATCTCTATAAAATATTCAACATGGTATTGTGGTACAGTAGTGTGCGGTCTTTTCATGTATATACTGGATGAGAATGTGAACCTAATTAGCAAAAACACAAAGTTTCAACTATAATAAGGGACACATATCAGCTAAGGCATACTAGTATGTGGCCTTATTACAAATCTTATAGCTATATCGTACTATAGCATCTGAGAAAATAATTAAAAATAGGTGGAAAAAAAATTTACTGTGTAGAGATAGCGTTGTAAATCACAAGTTGTCTGATGCTAGTAAGCCATCATATGTTAGAAACACTGAACACAAGATACAACACAAATGCTCACAAACCTTCCATTTTTCCTAAAACCCTCTTCACGGCCCCAACACAGCCTTCGCATGACATGCCAACATTGAGGACAACAGTCTGCATGCAGAAAAAAACTGATACATAAAAGGCAAAGATCAAGGAACTAATTATCTCAATGAAGCATTGCAATCCATAATGCTAGAGAATATCACCAACTTCCATCCTTCATGCACTTGCATACGAATGATGTTGCACACATGCAAACATAGAGAGAGAGAGAGAGAGAGAGAGAGATGTGATTGGATTACTTTTTACCTTTGAAGAACAATAAAAAAGAGGGTATAGCACTATATTAAGGTATTCAGCTAAGATACAAGTTTCTTTTACAATATTAAATTTTAAACAACCTCTCACGAGGAGCGAGGCTAAAAAACCAAGCAATTGTTTGAGGCTTAGATACCCTTCCCAATCCAAATACCAAGCATATAACATAAGAAGCTATAAATCTAAACCATGTGTTCCTTCTAAGTAACATATACCTCTAAGGAGGGTCCACATAGACCAATGCATAACCAAACAATACATAAACAATTTTTCAAATACAACCTTTGCAATTTCAGTGAAAAGAAAGATGATGAGTATACTTCATAATCCCAGCCAATTTAGCTTAATTTCACAAGAATGCATGTGGACACACGCACACACACCACGTTACTTTTTGAAATGCAACGGCATCAACAAATACGCTTTGAGGGAGCCGGAGTCAAAAGGTTAGCCTTGTATACTCACTCTCAGCACCAGAAACTAATGGAGACCAAACTGAGTAATCAAACTTCATTCACAAAAGCATTCACTACAGATCCCAGAGAACAACTTAGGACACAAAACAAAAATCTACAACACATACTAGCCTATCAATTACTAACAGTACAATTCGATGCCATGTGTTCACAAATTCATTATTATTCTTTACCAAACAGAATCCTCAGCACACAAAGCTTTAGGATTACGTGAAATTCGAGAAATATGAAATTAAAATAATGGTTAAAATATAAGATTACGAATATAGCTCGGAAACAGGCAATAGCAAACCAGCACGACGGTCCTAATCCAGACATGGGTTTTCCCATTCCACATAATCCTCAGATTTTTTTATCACAAATCTATATAAACTGTCAAATTTTCAGCTAAAATAACCATTAGATTTTCCCCCAATCACAATTCCTATTCAGCATCGGTAACAATAGGTAAATATAAACCTAATTTTGCTAGAAAAGATCATATTTGAAAAGGAAAAGATAATATAAACGAATACCTGAGCCATGATGACTGCCACTGGAATTAGATGAACTCGATGGAAGATCCTGCTGAGTTGGGCTAGTATTTAAAGAAGACGATGAAAAGGGCGAAGAGGGAGAGGAGGAGAAAGGGGGGCCGTGTCAACTGTCAGGGTTGACCAGGCTCCTTTATGCTTTCACGTTGCGTCAGCGCTTGCATTATGGGTTAATTGTAAGGAAAATGTAGCTTAAACCAGACTTATAACCCAAATTTATATCTCAAAGGGTAATCATCAGATAAGTGGGTGTCTTCAATTTTTTAAATGCGACTTATTAATTCAATGACCTCTTTTCATTTATGACACAAATTTGAATTATTTATATAATAAAATAGAATGAAATTTAAATTTAAAAGACAAAAATATATTCAGATCGTTTTAAAATAAAATATAAATAAATTTAAATTTATCGAACAATATAATCTCAATATAAAAGATCCAATTATAAAGTTTTATCTGTTACTCTCTCTCTCTCTTATATGCCTCTCTTTCTCAGACTCCTCTCTTTATCACATACAGATTCCGCGTAACAATTTCAAAGTGATCTCTCATTCTAGGACTCCGAAAGACCTATCTCACTTGAAATACATCTACCCCCTACGTACGTCTCTCTCTATCTCTCAAATTCTACTCTCCCATGTCTGTCTATCAAGTGCCCAAGCTACCGCCCACCGCCTTTCTTTCCTCATCTGCCTCACACACTCACGCCCAACCTCTCTCTTTTTCCTCCTCTGCCTCACACTCTCACGCCCAACCTCTCTCTTTTTCCTCCTCTGCCTCACACTCATACCCAAATCAGAAACCACTATAGACACACAACAGCCAGCCCACGCCATAGACTCCAACAACACAACAGCCAGCCCACGCCATAGACTCCAACAACACGTCAAATGTATCTCTTTCTTTCTTTCTCCTTCCCCTATCTCACTCGCCCATTCTCCATCACCGTAGACCCAAAACACAGCCCTCTTTTCCATCCTTCCAGCCCCTGCGTACCACCTGTTCGATGAATTGTCAAGGCTATTTTGTCGCACCCAATGCTTGAGGTACAATCTAATTGGCAATACACCATTGTTGGGTTTAGCTTGATCATATATTGTCATTTCTCTTTCTAGCATTTATTGATTTGAAGATTGGCTTTTGTGTAAATTATTATCATGATCCCTTTTCGTTGCCATTGTGGTGGCATACTTGATTTATTAACTTTTTCTTTTATGGTGTTTTGCGGTTGTGGATGTATAGAAGATGTTGATAGTACATTTTAGGCTACTCTAAGCGGAGAATTGGTATGGTAGTTTTGAGTGTATGGGATCTGAATTGAATTGTTGAAGGATTAGAGTTTAATTCCTTTTGAACTTTGGTGTTTTTCAATGGACTCACTTAGTGAACTCTTAGTTGTCCCGTAAAAAAAAATATGGTTACTACCATTTATTAAGTTTATTCACAACCTTGATGCAAAATTTTTGTGAGAGTAAATTTGTAACCTAAGCTTTATATTCTACTGTGTGTTACCTATGTGTGATGTGTTTTTTTTTAAGTTTGTGATTAAAATTACTGTGCAAACTTCAGTGTTGGTATTTCTCTATGAATGTACTCAGGGTACACATGGTGATTGAACAAGGTGGTCTGGATGAAAGAATGCACTGTTAATATTTCTATATGATGGAATTTGATTTATTTGTAACTTGCGAATTCTATGTTCTGTTGATTCTGCAAACCCGTTTCTTGAGATTATGGTTGACAGAATTAGTGTTGATTTTTCCAAAGTTCTTGATGCAGGTGACACTTGAAAGGTGGGTACAACATCCATTAGGAATTCAAAAGATCCCTTTTCCATATTGGTGATCCCCAAATCCTCATGTCTCTCCCAATTCAATCCCTAATGTCCCGCAAGGTATCCTCTCTCCCTTAACCTCTCATGAATTTCGCCAAAGATTAGCATTTATTGAGTTTTCCTTTTTTGTTTTTTGAGTTTTTTAATATTGTGATAATGGGGGAATATTTTTAGAATGTTTGGATGCTTTTTATTTTGTTGGCATATTTTTAGAATGCTTGGATGCTTTTTATGAACAAGCTTGACCTCTAGGATACTTTCTTAGCTTTATATTGTTAATCTTACCAGAATTCTAGCTGAGAACGTATTTGTATTCCTATGCAAATATAAGTTTGTGGTTCTCTTTATTATGAAAAGTAGGAGCATTTGGTGGTAAAGTAACTTACACTAGAATTATTCTTTTCGGAAGGTACACTAGACTTATTCACCATAAAGGAAACAAAGATTCACCAGGTATTCTTTGGATATTTATTTGTGGTTCCATCTCTCTGCCTCTTCCATTTGTGATGTGAATTGTAATGTTGTACTCTTTACTTGCAGATGAATCATGTGGGTGGATATCCTTTTTTGATGGTTTCATTCTTAGTATTTTGTTTGAATAACTTTGACCCGAAAATTACCTTAAATTTAGTTGGTGGTTTCATTTGTTTTATTTTTTTTATTACTAAACACTTCATATAAAAAATTTAATCTCATCGAACCAATTAATTATATGTTTATTTAGGTAGCTGTGCAGCACTAGATCAATGCTTGCATTGATCCATAATTTGAATAGCCATCTTGCTTTTTAATCAAGGAAGTGATCTTGGCAATGCTTGCATTATTATATGCGGGTATGCCATTGGTTTTATTTGAATCAAATTGTTTTCTGTTTATCAAGAGCTCAGATTCCGTTTTTTACTTGTTTAGTGCATCATCAGGCTCCGTTTTATTTCTTTTTCACTCTCTAAAACCCAATCTACATGTTGCTTTCTTTGGAATTGTGGTTTTATTATCAAATTAGTAGGTTAATTATGCATATTGAAGTCACCCATATCTCTTTTCTATGTATAGAGGTGCGGGGCAAGAGGACTAATTGAGTCATGCATGTGTACATGCTCATTGTTGAGGAGTTGGAGAAGACTGGAATTTTTCAAGCAGGGCTCATCCGTTGCCTATATGAGTTTATTATGTCTTTTTTTTTTTTTATGGTTATTTTGCTTTTCTTTATGATATATTTTCAGCTTTGGAACTGACATAAAACATAAATGTCAAAGAAGGTGCATTTAGTAATTTTTTTAGTTGTATGCTTCAAAGGAATCATTAGGTGATCACACAAGTGCTCATTGTTGTAGGCACTCAATAAAAGACATTTTTTCTGTATCTTTTTTCTGAACTTTAGAGGGGAAAAAATTAAAAATAATTGTGGGCTTATATTGGGTGACAATTTTCTATAGTTTTTTTTTATTGACTATTTTTTTTATGTTATACAATGCTTTTGAGAATGGATAATTGTTTGCAATATTTTGTTTGTTACATAGTGTCTTCAGGTACGGGTAATTGCTAGTAAATTTAAATTACATAACATTGCTCTAATTGTAATCTTCTCATAAGGATACCTTGTTTTTGATAAAATACTTAACGTAACGTTAACATTATATGGACTAATAGTAACTCGTAACCTCAAGGATCACTTGAATTTTAATTTGTATCCTTAAAATTTTAAAATATTAATTTATATTTTGAAGATATAAATTTGTACTAATGTGCACTAGGGTTAACTGTCGTCTATTTTTTCGTTAAAAGATTTTGGACTAATTAAAAATTACATCTCTAAAGTCTAAATATTTCACATTTATGATAAAAAAAAATTTCATAAATTAATACTCGTTAAATGTCTCTCAATTGTGTCGTATTATAATATTTTTGTGTTGTATCATCTTCGAGTCAATAAAAAAAATATTTTAACATAAAAAATATTTTCGTATTGAATCAATTGTTTTGTGTCGTATATTTTACATTTACGATAATTCACATAATACTATTTAAAAATAACAAAATACCTATTTTTTGCCTATAATATTCCTTAAATAGTTATTTTACGTCTAAAGTTATGCACGAAAATTTTGACTGTTCAATCAAATTAAAATTAGATACGAATGACATGATTTAAGGGGTATTGTAGAGAGAGAATAATTATTTTACGAGTATTGTAGATAAAAAATATGTATTTTAAAAATATTGTTTTAGTAAGTCGAACACGACATGACAAAATTGAGAGTTATTTAATGATCATTAATGGATGAAATTCTTTTGGATCATAAATGTGAAATATTTTAGCTTTGAGGTTACAATTTATAATTAGTTCAAATTGTTATCATGGCAAAATAGATGCTAGTTAGCCTAGGTACAAATAACATATTGATACAAATTTATTTTTTTAAAGTTATAAATTAATATTTTTAAACTTTAAGGGTACAAATTAATATTCGAGTGATCTTTTGAGGTGCAATTTACTATTAGCCCATATTATATTGCCGATATATTAAATTAGATTTAATGGTCAAAAAATAGATAGTGCAAAATATTTTATAATAAAATTTACTTGTGATATAGAAAGACTGATTTGCGAACGACTGTTCGAGCGACAGGAGGGCAAGACGGCAGTCTTGGAAATAAAAATCAAATTTCAAACTGACGTAGGAAGAACAGACTGTTCGAGTGACCTTTGAGACCTCTCAAGTGGCCTAAAGGGTAGTCCATGTTCCTCTTTCATTTAGCCTTTTCTCATCTTTTTCTTAAGTCACGAATAAATCACTCTAGAGATTAGCGAGTATAGAGCGGTTCCACTAATTTTTTAAACTTAAAACCAAGCAAAAAAAATTTGTACTCTTGAAAACTAAAAAATATTGCTTGAGAGGGATCCGATTATAGCTAAATTCTCTGTTTTCAAAACACATGAGGTTTAGAAAACCTTTTCTTTTAAAAACACATGAGGTTTAGAAAACCTTTTTTTTTAAAAACATATGAGATATTCTTGGATCTAAAAGTCGATTCTCTCTTACACTACCCCTTCTAAGTTTATTAAACTAAGGGATCAACTCAGATATCTAGGTTCGTACTTTATCCTAAGCGTGAAGGTGTATATTGAGTAATTTTGATATAGTTTTGGCGCATGATTTCCTCTCCTCAATGACTCTTTTGAATTTTTATCGTTATAGTATCATGATCATGAAATAAGTTGAGTTTACGTAAACTCTACAAAATTAACTAATTACAAACATACTATCTAACAATTGAGGATTTTACATAAAAATAAAATTCGTCACAACATCAAACACACCCTCACCACGAACTTAAATCTAACATTATCCTCAATGTAATAGTGCAATACCCCGACGCTTAAATTAAATAACAAACAAGGTTGAGAGCCGAAGAAATGCCTTATGCTGCAACACTATTCAAAGCTACAAAATAAAACAACTCAACAAGAAAAATCAGAAATAAAATAAAAATCTAAATTACAACCTAACTACTAATGTACAACAAAATGGCACACAACTATTGCAGCAGAAATGCCTAATTTTTGCATATTGATGCTTTGTTTTAAGGTGCACAAGTTCTTTAGGAACTCGACATAAGAGAGTACCTATTTTGAAACATCAAGCAAAAAGAATATTGATTTCAACTTGTTTGAATAGTTCTACATTTTCAGCATGGTGATTGATCTTCTAGGGCTTCTTTAATTTTTGAGTAAAAAGAACAAGTACGGGACATAGTGGGCCCTCATTTGTCTCAGGTGGAACTTCATCACGGGAAATAGTTGTAGGATTGACTGTGTGATTGACTCTTAAGGAGCAAGGGTCATATCTACAATTTTTCTACTCCAAATAGTGGAGATAGACTGTATATGCTTAGATGGCGGTTCACAAGTGGCAGAGGTACATTTTTAAAATTGACCTTGTGTTAGTTTTTGTTGAGAATCTGTAGACCCCAAGGACTAGGTCAACTTCATAAGGTGACTGTTGACATCATCTATCGACTAAGTGATTTGATTCGTAAACTCATTGAAAGTTTGGGTGGTTTGGACATTGATATTTATTCGACTTTGTATGAACTGATTCAAAATGTTTTCAAATTTTTTTTTTTTTTTATGGTGGTTGGTAAGGTGAATATTGTGGAGGACCTTGTGATGATGGAGGATTGGCTGATGACTGTTTATTGTTCCTCCAACCGAAGTTTGGGTAGTTACACCACCCGTGATTGAAGTTTTGTTGTTGCCTAATACCC